TGGCCCTAGTAACTTTCAAATAGTAAGGCATTATGCACAAATCTAATGATCAAACAAAAATAGGGCTGAATCTTTAGTACTTGATTCAACTGCAAGTGCAAAGGCTTCTTTTTTCGTACGTTTACTGTAAAGCTGTGTTTAATAAGAGGTTCTGCGGAATTTCTTTCCCTTTTAACGCTTCAACAATCCTCAAACACTCTTTGAATCAAAATTGTTCGAATTTAGGATGGAATCATATGAAGAAACTATTGACTAAATGGCAAAAGCTTAGTTTGTCGCAGATTTTGTCCATTTAACTGAAGTAATCTAAACCAAACATTCATGCAAGACAATTTGTGTTTCATGTGTAATTTACATGGCAAATATGGAAGGCATCGGATGAAAAACCCGCGAGTAATGGCCGAAAAATTGGCTTTTTGAACAGTTCTTCTTGGTTTTTCGTTATACGCCTGTAAGCGACAAGGACTTAATTCTTAATTCTTGCAAAGTGGAAAATTTTTTGCGACATTTTTTAAGAAAATCAGAAAATAAATGAGGAAGTTATTCAAGTGTTTATTTTAAGTAGTACGAAAAATCCGATGTTTTCACAGGTTTTTGCAATTTTTTGTGTAAAGCCAATGTTGTGGGAAAACTATCAAGCTGTATAATACAAACCTCGTAATATGAGCTATTGTCTTGCATTAAGTGCAAAAAAAAACCAAACAATTCACCCTGCTAAAATCTGGTGGGGGCGGGGCGAGATTGCAAAGTTGAGTTCGACCTAACCTCGTAAATTTGCAACTTGTTTGTATAATTTCATCGAAATCGTCCGAAAAATGTGGACATGCATAAATAACATGCACACACACACAGACAGACACGGACATCTGTTTTACAGATATACATATACGATTATAAAAATATTTGAACCCACTATAACGAAATATTTTTCATTTATCATTTTCTGAATAAATAAATATGAAAATATGTTTTCATTCATAAATTTAAAGAAATGTATGTGAAGAAGAATATTTAAATAAACAGATAAATAATTATAAATTTTGGAAAAATGTGTACTGCGAGAATTTCTTTCATTTGCACTGGCCACCAAGATTCACTATAATAGGTTGACAGCATCTCTTGCCCGGAATCATAGATCGTTTTAAATTGTCTTTATGTCATATATTTAAATTTTCTGGGTACCCCGAGACGATGTTATGGTTTGCAAGCTTGTCTCGCTCGAACAATTACGACCGAGTAGTGAGTTCGATCCTCAAAGGTTGCCAATACATTCGGTCTTGTGCCACATCTAATCTACGTTTGGAAAATCATTTGCTACAACAATTACGACTGAGTAGTGAGTTCGATCCTCACTGGGTGCCCTTTAGTTTCGACCTTGTGCCACATCCATGCTACGCTTAAGAAAAAATGGGCACCCCGACGTTGTGTAATGGTTAGCAAGCTTGGCTTGCTCGAAAAATTACGACTGAGTAGTGAATTAAATACTCACTGGGCGCCCCTTACTTTGGGTCTTGTGCCACATCTAAGCTACACTTGGAAAATCAGTTTAATTACATTGTCTTGTTCTACAGCTGATGCTAAAAACGGTAAAGGATAAATATTTCATTGAAATTTATTTTACATATTTTTATGATATTTTTTTAAAATTTTTAATATAGTTTGGGATATAATTATTTATTTTCATATTTATTTCTTTATAAAATGATATATAATACATATTTATAAATGATCAGTAATGACAAAGGGAATTGGACTTGGTTTCATTTTTATAAAAATTCTCATGTGGGGAAGAAAATTAAACATTGCTGCTTATTTTCGGACCATTGCATTCGGTTAAACAGAACTATTACTCCAATTGTTATTGCACAAAAAATATTTTGTAAAGATCCTCCATCTATACAATTGTAGTTTGATTATATTTCTATTCTAATTTGGCTTGCGTGAACTTTACTCGACAAAACTAATACGATACTTTTAATATCTACATATTAATATAGTTATATATGTCTCTTAAAGTAGATAACGATGAAATCAACAGGTTAAAATTTAGATGTTACTTTGAATAAAACCATATTATTCGAGATATTCATACAGACAAAAGCAGGGCGGTGTAGATTTTTCATTTTGTCTTTTTACTGTAAACGTGATAATGACAGTAAAGCCTGAGGCCTGACATAAGTGGCTATTTCACATCTGCGTCGGTAAAAACGAGAATACAGGCGTATACAATCTGTTCCTCTGTAAGATTGGTGAAATGAAATCCACTAAAGCCGCATTCTTTCTTTTGGATTTCCACCAAGTTAAAATTTTATGAAGAAATATATATTCGTTGTCTATTCATTTTCCGAGCTCACTTGTCTTCTCAGACGCTTAACCAATCCCTGTTGTAGTCGCCTTCTTAGGCACATTTGTGTTTGTTCAACACTCTCAGAGCTAACCTGTTCTTTATAAAGAAACTATTCTGTACAGACCTTTGTTACAGTTTCTGAGAGAGAAAGTGAGCATCACCTGACATGACCAGCAGGTTTAAAACGCCAATACATTGTAACCGCGAATAATACAATCATCGGCGGCTATCAAAAATTTCCTTTTATCCAAGTGAACTCAAACAACTTGTGTCAACCCACCGTATAGTCTAAATTTGTTGGAGTCACCTCTCCAAGCCGATATCATCAAGAATTCAACTGACAAATCCACCATGTTGAGATTCGAACACGGGTCTCATGGTCGATAAGTAAACTCCCATACTCTCATATAGGACATAAATGAATGGAATCGACCGTTTATATAAATAAGCGAAGTTAAGCGGAGCTAGTAAGTTAGCGCTACTTTGCCACTCTCCGCCTCCAGGCCGAAAGGAACCTAGCCGGGACTATGCCGAAGGGCAGAGACTCGTCTGGAGAGCTAGACAAACCTGGCCCCGTTTATAGAGTCTCTACGGTTAATTTTTTCCCGGGCCTACGGGTTCAGATCGCCCTACGTTTAAAAACCCGGCATTGTGTCACATCCCACCTTGTGGTGAGGACTTGGGTAAATATTAGGTGACTTTCCTTGTCATTCTCTACCTCCGGACAGAGAAGAACCCGGTTGAGGCTCTACCGAAGGGCGGAGTTTCGTCTGGCGAGGGTAACAAACCAGACCCCCTTATTATGGGGTTTACGACGAATATTTTCCTCGACCCTACGGATTCGGAAAAACGCACGTTAAACCATCTTGTACCACATACCGCTCTGTGGGAAGAATGGAAAATACCAAGTTAGTATTAGGTCAATTACTAAATGTACCTTCTTTTCATTACTTACGTGCTAGTGTGTCTTCCTTATTTAATTCAACCTCTTATATCGAAAACAGGAGATACAACAGCCACATACTTACATACACACTGATGTACGCCATAGACAAATGAAAATAATTATTATGAATATCTACATTGTAATGATTTGATTTTTGCTTGTGGATTTGTTCGTTGGTGTAACACAAAAAAGACAGAACAACATATAAGAGGATATTTCATCTGAATTTAAAATTCGTTTTCGTTTCGTTTGCGTTTAAAATTCATTAACTTGATAAATAATTTCCAATTTTATTTTTAACTGGATAATGATGATGATGATGTCTTCGTTCATGGTCACCCTGAGAATATAGCTTTGGTATTTTGAAATATAAGTTTTTTGTTTCTGTTCCTGTTACTAAATATCTCTCTCTCTCTCTCTCTCTATATATATATATATATATATATATATATATATATATATAAAATGCTGTAGAAATATTATTCTATTAACACTGCAATGCAAAGTACTATTTTTTTGCTTTAAATAAAAATTAAATAAATAAACGAATTATTATTTCAATCGTTCCATTATTATATGTAAAATATATTAAAGCTCCCATCTTATTTTATAATACTGTATTATAATAGTATTTTTAAATTTGGAGATATTTCACAGTAAAATCCTGCTTATTAGGGATTGGCAGAAGTACTGATAAATATATTTTTTAATTTTAAATTTAAATTTTACACGTTTGATTATAATAACTATATAAATTCTACAGGCGTGGGGGGAGAGGGATTATGCCGATATCATATTTAATCACGTTCTCGTAAGATCCCCGTAGTTAAGTAAATGATAATTTATCTTCCCGCTATATATTTTGTCTTTTTGTTTCATACCTCAAAGAAGTCGATGACAAAAAGCTGCGATTGGAATCTGTTATTTAAAGTTAGGGAGAGCGACGTATTTTGGAAAACAAACGCTACATAATCTTCCTGTCATTACTTAGTCTTCAACAGATTAAAGGAAGATGTATAATTATATGTAGTTAGATATTTAATAGCCGTTATCTGTTAGTAAGTCTTGAGTTTACGAAAAAATTTATCAAATAATTATTACTTAAGTTCTAACGTACAGTATAAAGATCGATTACCGAAACTTCCTAAAACAAATTTAGATAAAAAAGTAGAAGTATTTAATCAGAAAATAGAACTTGTGGCTACGTTCGAAGTGTTATCGGAAAGTTATCGGACTAGAATCTCCTGACAGACTACAAAATTGATTCCTGTCATATGAGAGAGCTGATTGATTGTTTTATCGACTGTCCTCTTCGATGAGGTCACGACTTTGTTTTCTTTTATTTACTAATTCCTAACATTTTTGTAGAGACTGGTCGAATTGAGCGTACTTTCTCTTGAATTCACAATCAAATGTTTTAAAAACCTGCAACACTCAAAGACTTTATTCAATGTCGACCGAAAAGAACGTTCGGCGAATACCCGACGAAGAATTTTAATGGTCGGCTTTTTTTTTTCTAGCTAAATTTGATGCTGCTCATATTTTTCAGTTATCGTAAAGATAAGAGAGCTGCTTTAAACAAAAATCACATAATCAAACGTATGTTCAAATACGTAGCCATTTTTCAAAAAGACTCAAAGCCGCAAGTCTATCGCTAACGTAAATGTATCGTAAATGTTCAGATAAGTTCCAATCTTTAGTCGGTTTACGGACATAGATGGTTGAAACATCGGTTCCCGTACGATAACTAAAGTTAAGCAATGTTGAACCTGGTCAGTACATAAATGGGCAACCTTTTGGGAAGACCAAGTGCTGTAAGTTTGGATGGGTGGGTAGTGTTTGGAAATAATATTGGATTTAATACCAGTCGGGTTCGTAACATTCTCTTATGTTCATATAAACTTGAGAAAAGTATGAACGTACCTGTTTTCCCCAAAGCTACGGGTTAATTAATACGGCATATCAGTAAAACATTATTATTATTATTATCTCCGAAACATACTTCAAATCTAAAGAAAAATATTGTCTGGATTTAAGAAACCCGCAAAAGGTTGATACGCTGTAAAAAAAGACTAACCTATCAATCAATCACTTAATAAATCCAGTCTTTATTTTAGTTCAAAAATATACAGCCAGAATTCGTCGTGCTACTTCCACGGAGTTGGAGCACTCGCATTTCTTCTGTATCGTATTTATAAGAAAAACAGTACTAAGTGGCACCGTCTCCCACGTGGATGCTTACCTGAACACCAGAGTTTTAAGCATTTCAATTCAAGTGTAAATCGCCCTTTACTCTCTTTATCTTCGTAACCATCACTTCATTCTACCTCCTCATACGTCTACGTAACGCATTCAGTAAGCTTTCATCTTGTGTGGATTTTGAGCCTGGTATTCAGTGAAATTTAGTTTTAAAAATAACACGTACAGATAGCAAAAAAATGATTTGGAGATTGATTCAAAAGATTCGGGTGACAAAGCATTGCCTGCGTATTCCTTTCTGTTGAAGTATACACTCTCAGAGTTTACCGACCGAGACCTTTTTGTTAAACATCTTCTATCCGTGTGATTCAAGTGATATCTTTTCTGATATATCAGAAATAAATCCAAAATTAATATTCCATTTTCATATCAACACAATTTTGCTTTCTGACGTGATAGTAAAAACTTCTCGTACTGATCAAAAAGTAATTAAAACGATTTCTGATTTTTCTCTGTCGAACTCAGAAATTTTCCCTTCGTCATCATTTATATAGATCGTTAGAATGACAGAAAGATTTGTTTGATACACAGACTCATGATAATACTAGCTGAATTAAAATTCTTTTTTATGTACTGTGTATTATCTGCTAGGAGGAAACCATATTTCTGTACAATTTCTTATCCCAGAATTCAAAAGATCGCGGAAGTCAATTAGAAACAATTCTATTTGACAACAATTCACGACAGTTCAATGATAATAAAGAAAAAGACAGTTTGGCGAAACATGATCGCCCATAGCCTAAAGGAATACGGTATATAACAAAAATACAGGCGGAGACCCGTATACTGGAAGCATCAAATCCAGGATACGATGACAAAGGTGATCACGACTGATTAGATTCGGATCAGTGACGTTATTTTTTATTCGGTATCACGCCGTGCAAGCTGGTAAAGCTACTAAGACACAAGGGGTTACACTACAGGGCGTGGAAGAGTTAAGAACAAAAACAATAATGAATAGAAAGAGAAAAGACTAATCAGGAGGACATTAGATAGCGATTGATATTGCATTTAAATTTCTGTAGATTAAAGTTGAAACCATGGATCCGGAAGGGAGTTCTACAAGAAAGGCAGTAAAGCCGCTAAGACACAAAGTGTTACTGGGTGTGCAAGAATTAGGAACGAAAACATTAATAATGAGCGGAAAGAGAAAAGTGTAATCAAGAGGATAGTAGATAGCGATTAACATTGAATTTAATTTTTTTAGATTAAAGTTGGCTGGAAACCATGGATCCAGAAGGGAGTTCCCCAAGAAAGGCAGTAAAGCAACTAAGACACAAAGACTTACTGGGTGTGGAAGAATTAGCAACCCAAACTTTAATAATGACCGGAAAGAGAAAAGAATAGTCAGGACGATAGTAGATAAGGATTGAAATTAAATTTAAAATTTTTGTATATTACAGTTGGCTGAAAAGCATGGAGCCGGAAGGGAGTTCCGCAAGCGAGAAAACCAGTGAAGAAACTATTAGCCTAGAAATTATGGCTATATCTAGCCAGTTCAACGGTCAATTGAGAAGTTCTCGGCTCCAGTCTAGCACTGCGCTTAATCTATGAGGTCGAGGTACTATAGCGAAGAGAGATATTTATTTGTAATTATTTACAAAAAGTGGCACAAAGCCAAAATAGGGTATGGGAAAAAGGGTTGTCTTCATCTGTCTTAACTTTAAACTTAGCTAGCCACAAACACTGAGCCAAATATACCACAATAATCCTAAAACCAAAACAACACATTCTTACTTACCTTTCTTACTACGTACACCATTATACCTCATTGTCTTTATGAAAGTCGTAAATAGTCCCTATAAGTACAATTCATAGTCTGGGGCGGGATTAAAACAACACCTTATAAACTACATTCATGATAATTGTTCAGATAATCTCTCCGCTATTTGTTTTCAAATTGTTACTATTCATTGGGGCAATGAATATTAACAATTTGAAAACAAATAGCGGAGAGATTATCAGAACAATTATCATGAATGTATTTATCGAAAAGGCACAGAGATGCAACCTTATAGCGGTCGGTAAGTGCCTGAAGCCGAGGCGCCAGGTCAGGACAAATAAAATTGCTGATTCTTCTTTGGATATTATCAAGGAGCTCTAGGTAAATAGCAGGGGCTGTGGGTTATATGTTGCAGCAATATTCTTAGAATGAGCGAATGGTAGACTTATATGTAAGACAGATTCTAGCGAGAGAAATGGTCTCGAACAACACAGTGAACCGACTTTTTTAGCAGCTGATCTAGAAATGAATTCAATATAGTCTTTTCACTTAATGTCAACTGAGAACCTTATCCTGAGAAGGCGCAAGGGTTCACTTTCTTAGAGAACCAAAAATAGGCTCCCAGGTTTTACGTGATATGTACAATAAAAAGTTTTGCATTCAGAGAGTTCCTTCACCCATACATTCTCATACTCAAGACTATAAAAGCTCGTTTGCCCAGCCATTTAAGCCATAGCTAAGTACGAAGCGATGAATACATGCATTTCACAATGGTAGTATTTTCTAATTGAACTCAGTAGGAAGTTGAATTATGATCGCCAATTATTCGTCGATAACCGTAATGTTACCTTCACATCTTTCAACCCTATACATTGTAATAATCTTAAATGAAATTAACACATAATTTAATGACAAAATATAATCAATAAATAGCGAGGCGGGTTTACTTGACAATTAACTTACTGGGCAGCGCTATACAAAAAGAAAAATTATGTATGTATTCCTGGTTCAATTAGAGCAGCCATTTATAGTTGCTCTTTAATACTTCAGAGCAGCATGATTTGTTAACACTAGTGATAACTGTCGACCAACAAGTTTACAAATAAACCACAATGGGATGTCGCGTCTTTTGTCTGGCATGTGCGGTCCTCAAGTGGGTGAACTGTAGAAAAGAAATAACTTAAATGCGAAAAAATATTGAACAGATGTAATTAATTGTGACAAGTGGCATTTCAGATAACCAAATATATTAGCTCTTCTCTGGAATAGGATATGAAGTGAGCGTGGCTGCTAGCGTCGTGGAAATCGACGAATCGAGTTCAAAATACTACCTCGATGGATTCGGTTAGTTTCGCGAAAACTCCATGGGAAAAGGCTAGAGTCATTCTCCTTCACAGATCTACAAGTTAAATCTCATGGTAGACTTGGGTCTCCTTGACTATTTGCCATCCAAGGCAGATTGCCAAGGAGAAGGGTAAATCGTTTTGAGAGACGTTTCTATAAATATTTTCATGCTAATTATTCTGATGTATTTTCTGTTAGACATTTTCATGACGGTCGTCCTCGAGTATCGAATCCAGAGGTTGGCAGTGAATATTTCGGAGACAGTAGGAAAGCATAGTGGAGGTTCGCAGTGGATATCACAGCAGAGTGTAGTTCATCCTTCTCCTGGTCGCCTTTGGTCCTTCCGGTAGACGAAACAAGATGGCCGCCTTTATACACGACGAATACAGTGTTGGGCGGCTTCTGATTGGTCAACCTTCAATTGGTCGATTATAAAGGGAAATAAGTCATTCTGACTCGCTCACTAGTTAGTTATACATAATATACCCCAAAAACTGTAACATTTTCCTCTTTTGTACCTAAACTTATGGATTGTTGTTCCCTCTATATATTAAGAGACGTAACTGAGCCTTTTCTATAATTACTTTCAGTTTAAATGTTCCGATGAACTTTCATCTATGGTACCTAGACTTTATGAGTTTAAGCGCAGTACTAGATTGGCGGAAAGGTCCCATCATCTTATTGTTGATATGAGTGAGTTTAACCGTAATTCTATACTGATTGTTACTTCACGATCGTGGGACTCTCTTGCTGTCTAGTCAACTTTGATCTTCAAAAATTTTGAATTCAGTGTCATTTTCCTTTATTCTTCTTAAACCATGTTCTTTTAATTTCTCTTTAATAACTTTTTTCAAATATTCCCTGACACTCAATAACCCCTTGTGTCTTAGTGGCTTTATTGCCCTGCTTGTAGTGAAATCATTAAGAAAAAGAACCATTATCTTATCAAGTAAATAATAAAGAAAAGAGTAGTAAACTACTATATGATATGTATATGTATATCTGTCCTCCTGTATGGCAGTGAGTGCTGGACGATCTCTTCAAAGACGAAGAGGGGACTTTAAGCAACAGAAGTGTGGTTCTATATAAGGATGCTGAGAATACTGCTGACAAATATGCGTATAACGACGAAGTTCTGGAGAAAAAAGGAAACAAAAAGGAAACTAATACTTAGCACTAGGAAGAGACTGTTGAGGTTTTGGTGACATATTAGGAGGAAAGAAGGCTTGAAAAGTATAATAATCACGGGACATATACAGGGCAAGAGAGGGAGAGAAAAACAACGCATAATATACATAGTGAGCATGACTAAATAGATGTTGGAACAAGGCTTAGGAGACACAACAAAAAATAAAATTTGCTAAGACCTTCAATGAGCCGGAAGTTGTGGAGTACCATGATCGCATATCTCCTTAAGAGAGAAGGACAAATGATGAGTTAACATCATAGAGAATGAAAGCGGATGAATAAATCTTATTTCGGTCTATTGTGT